AGTATAATAAAATAAATTGTATTTTGTTAACTAAATTCTGTAAATCACACCTTATGTAAATCCGAAGAGCTCTAGTCCTGGTCCCAGCACATCAGGCTTAGCCCTAGCAGGACTTTGTGCTGGACTGACATGGTCTATAAGCTGCATAGAGAGCTGCCATACACCCAGCAGATGCCATACAGCTTTTCCATGTTGTGAGGAGGCAACTTAGAAAATGAAATCACAGGATGTTCTAGTTGTCAACTGTCTGTTTTCTTGAACCAAGTTAAACCATGTGTTAGAGTATTTCTTGTGTTTCTGTCCAGTCTTCTGGGGTTGTAATCTCTAACCACCCATTGGAGTTTACAGAAGGCGTGGGAAGATACACTAATGAGGTTCCCCTTAGTGATTCCTTCAATACCAGAACTAACTTAACAGATGGTCCCTGAAAGTCTCTTCAATCCTTAAGAAGCCCAAAACTAATTTCTTAACAAATAATGGCAAACAAGTGCCTCAGTAGGGAAAATCATCTGGAAATAAGCTAAATCTGAATGATACAGTTTTAAATACCCAATTGTAAGTCTCAGTTATTTTCAGACATCATCTCAACTAAGGTATTTTCAGAAAATGTCCATCCTGACTTCCTTTTTAAAAGAATCTATAAACCAGGATCATAAAATCCAAAGGGATCTACATTTTAAATATCTAACCACAAGGTGGAGATCTAACGCAAAGAGTAGTTTCTTAACAGGGCTCAATTTAGAATCCAGAGCTTCTCATCCAAGATTAGAAGTGTCTGTGTTCTCAGATTGTGCAGAAATTTACTTATTATTTTAAGCTAAAGGAAAAGACATCGTTTGTGTATCAGTGTTCTTTTATATAGATTAGAAATGTATATGGTGCACAAGTATTTCAGGAAGCTCTAAGCAACACAGTATCACTCGTGCATGCAGCAAAGTGGAGACATTGATTAGAAATTTCAAGCTTTAGGTATAAAGTAGGGAGAACGCTACTGTTTTATCACTTGATTGTGAGTACATTTTAACAAGTGTGAATGTGATTATTTTAGCCCAGATATTGGAAGGCTGGTACTGAAAACTAACTCCCTTTAAAACTCAACAGACAGAAGTACCAGACTGGTGGTTCTGAAGATTCTAAACCATGAATATGATTAAAATACTCCTCTAGGGGCGCCTGGGTGGCTCAGTTGGTTAAGCAACTGCCTTCGGCTCAGGTCACGATCCTGGAGTCCCCGGATTGAGTCCGTCATTGGGCTACCTGCTCAGGGGGGAGTCTGCTTCTCCCTCTGACCCTCTCCCCTCTCATGCTCTCTCTCTCAAATAAATAAATAAAATCTTCTAAAAAATAAAATAAAATAAAATAAAACACTCCTCTAGTTTCATTTCATTTGTACACAGTGGTGGGACTAACTTACCAAGTGAAGCCTTGGTGATAGGAGAAATTCCTCATCTCCTTTTAAGATGAATGGGTTTTATCAGTTTGCCCAATGATGCACCAAATGCACTTGTGTGACTCACAGATTATCTTCCAGGTTCACTCATCTAGAAGTTTCACTATTTTAAAAATAATCTAAATTTCCTTGATTTCTTGTAGTGTGAATATAATTATTTTTCCCTATAGAAACAAAAAACAGTTGAAAGAGAACATTTTAAGCTAAATAATAAATAGAAAACATGGTATGATCTTTTCTCTCTGTTTCTAATACTTCCATATGTTTTAACTTATTTTAGAGATCATATAACAGAAGTATATTAACTAGTTCAACTGTAGCCAAAATTCTTGGCAGGGTAACTTCTTAAAGTTCCTCTGCTATTTTTTGTCGTAATGAAAAAATCCATTTGTGGAAATCGTTTTTCCTCCTAGTTTACTCAAGTTCTAAGAACTTCGGGGCACCTGGGTGGCTCAGTCGTTAGGCGTCTGCCTTCGGCTCAGGTCATGATCCCAGGGTCCTGGGATCGAGCCCCACATTGGGCTCTCTGTTCAGCGGGAAGCCTGCTTCTCCCTCTCCCGCTCCCCCTGCTTGTGTTCCCTCTCTTCGCTGGGTCTCTGTCAAATAAATAAAATCTTAAAAAAAAAAAAAAGTTCTAAGAACTTCAATCTTCAATTTACTAAAGGTGTTGATCACCATACCTTAGAAAATTAAAAAGGAAGACCATCACATGCTCAAATATTGTTGCTTTCAGCTCTTAGGTGGGAATTTCCCCTCATTCCTTAGCAGCTGGTTTATCTCTTTATCTCCGTCACCTGCCTATGTTACAACTAGTAGAGCAGAGTTCCAAGCTGTTTGTTTAGATAAGCATCAAAGTTTGGGACTCTGATCTGTACTCAAGAGACCTTTGATCCTGTGCACCTTGATTTGGAAATCAAATTGGAACTCTAACAAGAAAGACTTGTCTCTTCCGCTACTTTCTGGTCTCAGCAAGGCCGGAAATACCAAGAGGCGGCTTCGTGGTAGTTTAGAACTTCCGCTTCCTGTTGTGGACGAAAGAAGCAGACACACATACAAACGTGAACCAAAACATACAGTGACCTTTTGCAATCCACCACAACATCCAGGTTAAATTTTGTTCCAGTATTGCCTGTTTACTTAACCAGTCAGTGTAAGCTTATGTGGCACCATGTCAAACCAAAACAAAGTCCGTGGAAGACTTTCAGGTCACCATGCACTGATTGCTTTGCTGGGGATCTTGAAAAAGAGCGAGAAACATTCTCTAGGAGTGGCATCTGGAAAGCCAGTATGATGTGTGAGCCAGATGATCAGTTACCAGCTTAGATGGCAATAAAGCTTGCTTAGTTCTCAGTGCCTCCAGGCAGTGGTTCTCAAACTTTGTGTGCAGCCTACCGGCATGGAGGGCTGGTTAAAATGCAAATTACTGGGTCCATCCCACCCAGACCACGGTTTCTGATTCACTAAGTCTGGGGTAGAGTCAGAGAATTTGTGATTGTAACACATTACCTGGAAATGCTGATTCTGCTGACCTGAGGATCACACTTGGAGACCCACTGCTTTAAGTGATTTTACCTGTGAAAATGGGGGAAATCCTTAAACCTTAGCAAATGTTGGGGTTTCATTTTAAAGAGGAAGTGAGACAGGAGCACATGGTTTAGAATCAGCCGTACTTGTGATTTGAATCTGGACTTGTCCAAAGCTGTGAGTCCTGGCAAATTACCTAACTCTCTGAACCATACTTTCCTTATCTGTAAAATGGAGAAAATAATCATAACCTGTATCTGAGAACCAAATGAGATACTGGATGTAAGGTGTCTGGTACATGGTATTCTATAAATGGTTATTTTTATTTAAAAAATTACAGATAATCTTAGTAAATAAACAAACACACATTCAGATGCAGGCAATAATCTCTGAGATCTAAGCACAGGAGAAACTTTGGTCAGGATACAATATGGGTTTGTACTGGATTGAGATTCAATAAAGAGAAATTGGTACAGTTTAAAGAACAATCTTGTTCCTTTAAAATAAAAATCTCTCATAGGATTCCTGGTGCTTTCTTGAAAACTATCACTAATTCCTATTTCTTTATTGCCATCTTAAACTCATTCTAACATTTATTTCTTTATTCTGTCTCTTGCTGATATATTTCTCTACTCTGCTGTTATACAGAAAGAAAGAAAGCAAAAGAAAGAAAGAAAGAAAGAAAGAAAGAAAGAAAGAAAGAAAGAAAGAAAGAAAGAAAGAAAGAAAGAAAAGAAAGAGAGCGTGAAAGAAAGAAAGAAAAAGAAAGAAGGAAAGGAAGGAAAAAGGAAAGGAAGGAAGAAGGGAGGAAGGGAGGGAGAAAGGGAGGAAGGGAGGGAAGGAGGGAGGAAGGAAGGAAGGAAGGAAGAGATTCTTTTTTCTAATATGGAAAATTCTAGGGGCTCTAAACTCCTATGTAGTAGAGTTAACACTCCAGTTACCAAATCAGAGTCTAAGCATAAGGGATAATTAACAAATTGAAGAAATTGAAGAAAATTAACAACATATGTTAATGAACTAATCTAGTAACATTAAAAATTAATTTATACTGCCCAGTTTCCATGTTAATGAGGCATCTGTGCACTTCGATCAAAGTGATAGTATATTATATCCAAAAGCAAAGGGAGAGCCAGAAGCTCCCCACTGCTTTCAATGACTAAAAGTGGGCTCAACCCAAAGTTAGATAAAAAGGAATGGTTCATGCATTTATTAGGTGTATATTCATTGTGAACTTACTGTGGTCTCTCTGTGATGTGGGGAATATACTTATGAGTAAGAGACACCCAGGTGCTCACCTCATAGAGGTTATAGTCTAAATGTTAATCAAATCAGCACACAAATACATAAAAAAGAGAAACAGTGATGTGATTGGTGCAATGGACCAAAAATATGGTCTAAACCATACAGTGATGATGGGTTTGGGGCAGCACAGATGAGAGCCTGCAGGAGCTCGCAGAGCCTGTGCGAAGTCGTAAAGTAACAGGAGCATGATGGTACATGTGAAAGTATGAAAGGAGACCAGAGAGGCTGGAGGGGAGAGCTAAGGCTACGCCAGGACCATGAGGTGCCTTGCAGGCCAGGCAAGTAGGTCTTCATCCTAGGAACAGTGGGAAGCCCCCAAAACGGTTTTAATCACGGAACTGGCATAATCTAATTAACATTTGCAGATCACTTGGGGTTCAGGGTGTTAAATAGGTTACCAGATGTGGGGTCATGGGGCTGAGGAAGGGGGACTCAGTGGCAAAGGGGTGGTAGTGGAAAGAGTCAGTGTGGTTTGGGGCACTACCGGGACAGCCCATGTGGGAGAGAAATGATGGTAGATTGGACTTTGTGGTGATGGAATAGTTAGTTATTCTTTGTAACATTCTTTTGTGGAAATTTGTGCAAAGAAGAAAAAAAAAAAAAGCCATTTCTCCAGGGAGTCCAGGTATCGATGTGTCTACAAGCCTCCAGAGGGACCACATGCTCATTCAAAGTCCCCTCAATACCCTGACAGGACTTCAATGTGGCTCTAATTCACACTGTCACATGACCAGTGACCAGTGTCACTTAATGAGTGACACTTCGTTTTATTTCAGAGTTATTGGATAGATTGCCCAATACCCATCACCTCGGTGCTTGAAGTCACCATTCGCATTTCCTCTTTTGTGTGGTAAAGGTTTATAATTTTTCAGGAACCCCTTGGAATCAGTGCCTCCCAGAGGAAAAATTTAATTTGCTTTCTGGTTAAGCCACCAGTAAGGATTAGATACACATGAACTGAAAATGAGCTTCTGGAAAAATAGGGCTGAAGGGCTTCCTTAGTAGGCCTTAGGAGATGACAGAAGAGGAAGGAGTGTTGAAGCAGAGGGCAGAAAGAGAGGACGGGACACTAAAACAAACGTGTCTCCTTTCTCAAGTTTGCTGGGGCCAACCTTATAAATGAGGAGCTAGGGCAGGCTGTTACAGAAAGGAGGCTACCATTTTCAGTTGCTTTTACACAATACCCTCCCTCTAGAGAGTATCAACCAGGAATGAGGATGAATTCCAGCACATATTTTCTTATTGTACCCTCCCTGATTGGAAATGAACCCCGTAAAGGCAGAGAGCTGTGTCTGTGAACATAGACTTCCTGTCCATCACAGCTCAGGAAATCACTACTTCTCCATTCCCATCCATTTTTGTGCGGAGGTCATGTTGAATGCAGATGTTCGATATTTGCCATTGAATCCTTCCTTTGTCCTATACATTGAATAGAGTATATATATTTCCATATTATTGAAGAGAGTGTACATAAAGTGCTCAGCACAGTGCTTGCCTTATTACAGGTAGCTCTAGGAGTTTCAGACTTTTATTATTTAATCAATGAAAATGAGTGGTTGAGGATTAATAAATAAGATTACCTTTTCCTAGGCCTTGCTGATTCAAACACAATCCAGAGTGAAAAAACAATGGAAGACTTCACTATAGGAAACAAACTGAGGGTTGCTGGAGGGAAAGTGAGTTGGGGGATGGGGTAACTGGGTGATGGGCATTAAGGAGGGCACATGATGGGATGAGAACTGAGACTTACACGAAACTGATAAATTATTGAACACTACATCTGAAACTAATGATGTACTATAAGTTGGTTAATTGAATTTAAATTAAAAAAAAAAAACAATGGAAGAAGGTTGATATACCTACTGTTAACTTACAAGGTCTGTGTCAACCCTTTTGATTACCTCAAGAAAGTCCAGTTCCGTTAAACCACACTTCACCATCTTCTCATCATCTTCAGTGACAACATTAGAGTATTCAATGGATGCTACAGAACTGTACTGAAAGTTGGGAAAATAGAGTGCTTGCCATTAAAACAGTGTGCATCAATATTTGGCCTTAGCTTTCACTGCTGTTAACAGTAGTTTCTAAGATAAATTGAGCTTTCTATAAAAATAAATCCAGTGTTGGAAATCATAATTCATACCAGACTCAGGAAAAAAGAGCGTTGCTGAAAAAACACAGTTGAAATGGTATTCTTGCCAGAAGCCATATACCATTCTGCGATTTATTCCCTTTTTAGTGGAAGGACTTCAAAGCCATAAGTATACACATATGCTACAAGTATGTCTAAAATCTAAATGTAGGAACCTCTGAACCAACTTCCACATGATACAATTAGCAATTCTATCATTTATACCATGAGATAATATTGAAATGAGGAGATGTAGAGATTGAGAGATGACATAAAGGACCCAAACAAAGAATAGTAAGGTTTGGGAGAGAGAGCCTTTCTACAATACCAAGGTCATCAATAATCCCCCATCACCTTTAGGATACAATCTGAGTTTCTTTATATGTCCTGCAACTTCCTTCCAGATCTGATCCTTCAAAAACTCACAAATCAGTATATATTTGGAGTAACTGTTTCCAAAGCAAAGAGAAGCACGGAGAGTCGTAATCTAAAAAAGAAAACACAGCTCTGAGAGATGGTAGAGGTGATGTTCTAGTGTCCATTCTGCTGCCAACCATGCTCAAGCTACTTTTCGTCATCTGTGAACCTGGGGGAGAAGCAAAGGGACAGCTGAAATCAGTCATGTGCTCTAACAGTTTACCAATTCACTTGAATTTCTACTTTATCGTCAGAATTGCTGGGCACGTCCGCGAGGCTTATGACTGGTCTGTTTCACCTCTTATTCTTTCTTTCCGAACTGTGTCATTGATTAACATAAATTTAAGAAGTAATTGCTAATAGTTTGAATACGGATATCTTTTTTTTTTTTTTAAAGATTTTATTTATTTATTCATGAGAGACAGAGAGAGAGAGGCAGAGGGAGAAGCAGGCTCCCAAGGAGCGGGGAGCCCGATGCGGGACTCGATCCCAGGACCCTGGGACCATGACCTGAGCCGAAGGCAGACGCTTAACCATCTGAGCCACCCAGGCGCCCACGGATATCTTTTTAAAGTGTTAAAAGGACTTACTGATAGTGGAAGGCAAGCAGTGAAACTCATGCGTTTATTGATTTTATTGCAATGTACAAGTTTTTTAAACTCCAAATTTAGTACTTTACCAATCTGTTTCCTTTAACATTCCTTTGAGAATGATCCTTTAACTTTCAACTGGGTTGCAAAAAGGTTGTTTTTGTAATATATCACACTGAAGCAATTCAAGTTTATGCTAATTCTAAAATCTAAGGAAACCCTCCTTAGAGCCATTCATCAGAGGATATTTTTGGTGTCTTTCACAGTGATATTAAGAATTTTTTAGTATGCAAGTTTTCCCAAAGGTTTTTCAAAATAAGCATGTTTCTAAATAGGGTTTTAAAAGAAATCTAACAAAAGCAAAGATAGTATGGTGGCGGCTGCTTAGAAAAGAAAAAAAAAACAAACCCTTATCATTGGTCTACAAAGATTTCTTATAAGAAGCCCATGGTGCTTAAATAAAATTCTAAAATACGTATCAGGTTTCGATACAATAATACAAATTAGTAGGTTATAAAGTACATAAATATAAAGTGACTGGCCCAAAACATGTAACACCATCTTACCACTAACTACTCTAAATTTCATCTAAAACAATCCAGCCCCCAGAAATCAAGTATAATCCTGTGTAGATACACTTTTAGGCATTTCTAAAATCTGAATTCTGCCAGGAGCCAGCTTCCTGGGAGTCTTCTCTCGGCTTTCTCCTTAACATCTCCCCAGCCTAGCTCCCCGCCTGCCTAGCGTCTCCCCCCCTGTGTTCCAGAAGAGCCCCAGGGTGCTGCTCACCTCCTGTGGAGGCACCCAGGTGAAATTCTGAGACTGGAGCAGTGACATTCAAATCAACTGCACGGATCATCAAGGCACTGGTGATGGAATTTTCAAGTATGTGGCTGAGCTGCGTTCTGGTGGAAAAGGAAAGAGACCTGATTTCAAGTGTAATAATTAGGATTTGCACACTTGGGAAAAAAAGCATTAGTCAGAATCTCACCGTCACTCAAACAGGTGCTGCAGGATCTAGAGAAGTTTGTGTCACATGAGAGTGACAGAGATAAGATGTTACTATAAAACTGCCTCCCAGAGAGCTGAGGAGACTTCTGTCTGGCCTGCTAGGCTCAGGGAAACTGGCAAAGCCTGAAGCCCATCTGGATCTATATCAGAAGACAGGAAAACAAAACAGATGAGGGAAGGATACAAGGTGAAGGATTCAAGAGAGCCTGTGCGAACTGAGTTCATGGCACAGATTTTAGCAGGAGAGAGACCTAGGAGAGAAAATTTGAAGAGGTTCACTATGCTATGGATGAGATCTCTCCCAGAACTTTTTGGGGGACGTTGCAATCAATATGTAGTTTCTCTTTAATTAACTTTCCCTGCCTGGTCAATATTGTTTGTTTGTTTGTTTTAAGATTTTATTTATTTATTTGACAGAGAGAGAGAGAGCGAGAGCAGGAACACAAGCAGGGGGAGTGGGAGAGGGAGAAGCAGGCTTCCCGCGGAGCAGGGAGCCCGACGTGGGGCTCGATCCCAGGACCCTGGGACCATGACCTGAGCCGAAGGCAGACGCTTAACGACTGAGCCACCCAGGCGCCCCTGCCTGGTCGATATTGTTTTGAGTGTGACACCATCTGTAAGGGTTCTGTTAGTCCCTCAGGTATAACTAGTAGTCAACCTTTCCAAGATGAGGGTACTTCACTCCTGAAGGTCCTCAGAAAGAGTTCTAATCACTCTGCTTAGCACTGCATGATCTGACCCCTACCTTGGTTCAGTCACATCTCCTTCCATCACCCAAAATCTATGCTCCAGCCACATATAAAATGGATTGTTCCCAAAATGCACTGCTGTAATATTGTGCCTTATAATAAGAAATACATATTTGGTCTTTCTCTTGTTGCTGGCACAAAGCTCCTAAACCCATTTAAGTTTCCTAAGTGTTGACAGAGGTAAAGAGGTCTTTTGTTATGTTAATAAGATGACTTTTATTAACCTAAATTTGGAGGTGGGCTGGCTGCCTGGGGATTGAGGGTTGGAATTTTCAATTCCACCCTTGGGGAGAGGAGAGGAGCTGAAGGTTGAGTCAATCACCAATGGCCAATGATTTAATCAGTTGTGCCTATGAAATGAAGCCTCCATAAAATTCCAAAAGGACAGGCTTCAGAGAGCTTCTGGGCTGGTGAGCATTTGGAAATGTGGGGAGAGTTGCTTGCTTAGAGAGAAGAGGAGCTCTGCGTACCTTCCCACATCCCTTGCCCTATGCATCTCTTCCAACTGGCTGTTCCTGAGTTGTATCCTTTTATGATAAACTGGTGATCTAGTAAGTAGAATGTTTCTCTGAGTTCTGGGAGCCACTTTAGCAAATGAATCAAACCCTAGGAGGGGGTTATGGGAGCGTCTGATCTTTAGCCAGTTGGTCAGAAGCACAGGGAACAATCTGACTTTGTGACTGGCTAAAGTGATGAGGCAGTCTTTGAGGCTGAGTCCTTAAATTGTGGGAGCTGATGCTAGGCAGTCTTTGAGGCTGAGCCCTTAAATTGTGGGAGCTGATGCTATCTCTGGCTAGATAGTGTCAGAATTGAGTTGAATTGTAGGACACCCAGCTGGTGTCAGAGAATCACTTGGTGGTGTGAACACATGCACACACATATTGTGATCTCATAGGTCTTCAGACTTTCACACTCGCTTCTGCTCCCTGAGCTTGAAATGCATTCCTACCCCATTCATCCACCCATACAATAAGTATTTGTTGAGCACCTACTATGTGTTAACTACTGTTCTAGGCACTGAGTGACCAAAATGGTGAACAACAACTACAACAACAATAACAAAGCAGTGAACAAAACACACAAAAAGCTGCTACCTACTTGTGTTGCACATTCCCTTGGGTGACTCTTCATGCCATTCAAAATATACTCCAAAATCAATGAGATGTAGTGTGTGGACCTTTCTGAATCTCGAAAAAAAATCTTGAGACAGATGAAATTTGAATCTGAGTGGATATTTGAAAATATTAAGAAATTATTATTGATTTTTAGGTGAGACACTAGGATTGTAGTTACGACTTTTTAAATAAAAACAAGAATCTTTGTCTCTTGGAGATACATACCAAAATATTTATGGATACAATAATATGAGGTCTGGAATTGGTTTCAAAATAGTCCATTGAGGGCTTGGGGGCAGTGAGGAGAGTACGGATGAAACAAAATTGCCACTTGTAAATAGTTGTTAAATCATCTCTCTACTTTGGTATATGTTTGAAATTTTCCATCTCACAAAGTTTTTAAAAAGGAAGAAAAAAAAGTAAAGAACCATTGGGCTTCCTGCCCCCCTACAAGCCTTCCCTGGGGCTCCAATCCCAGCTCTACTTCCTGAAAGCCAAGGGCCCCTTTGCTCTCCTAGTCACTTGGGTCCCCTTATCATTACACCATTTCATGACTGTCACCTCGTGTATCATTCCCATGGGACAGTCAGCCAGTTGAGGACAGGGACTGACTGTGTCTTTCTAATCATTCTCTTTCATCAGCTCCAGCTATAATGCCCAGCAGAAAAATAGACACTGGGCATCATCTCTGCAAATGAAAAGCCAAAGTCTATAATAATTAGATTTTAATGAAGGTGACATTGGTTTCAAGGGAACAGAAACTTGGTAGCTGTCTTCTGTACTACGGAAAATGATCTGGCAGATGTGATTCCATTCACTCAACACATAATTTTTGAGTCCCCCCAATGTGTGAAAGATACTGCGGCTGGGGACCAAATACTCCCTGTTAACAACTGTCTTTTTTACTTCGGAGCATCCATGAAAGACTTCGGGGGAGGCAGCTGTGTCCAGGCGCACGTGCGCACACACACACAGTGAGTTGTTTTCTCATGGTTGGTCCCTTCAGGGTCTAGTTGAAGCAAGCAAACAAACAACAAAGTTAGCATCCCTGTAACAGGATCCAGCATCTCCGCTTGTTTTCTGTACTGTTTTCATGAGCAACGTAAGATTCTTTGTCATTTAAAATGGGTGCTAGCCCTCTTCAATAAAAACTAAGCTGAAAATAAAAACAACTTCAGTTTTTCCTCTGAGACTTATTTTCTTTCTAAAAAATTAAAAGATAAAATATATATGTAAATTCTTTATTCTTTTTTTTTTTTTTTTTTTTTTTGCAAGAGAGAGAATGAGAGACAGAGAGCATGAGAGGGAGGAGGGTCAGAGGGAGAAGCAGACTCCCTGTCGAGCAGGGAGCCCGATGCGGGACTTGATGCGGGACTTGATCCTGGGACTCCAGGATCATGACCTGAGCCGAAGGCAGTCGCTTAACCAACTGAGCCACCCAGGCACCCCTGTAAATTATTTATTCTACTAATAATATGAAACTTGCTAAGTCCTACAGATTTCAGTAAGTAGGGAAGGTTAAGAGTCACTGATCCCCAACCTCTCCCAATTCCAAATTAAGCACAAATAATAAAATCCGTGTTGTGATAAGGTGAGATGGATAATGCACTCTAGTTTTGAGATATTCCTCTCTTCTAGGGAGATTACTTGCCTCAAGTTGAGTAAAACTACATCATCTGCCAAGAAAAATTCACATCAAATAGAGTACTTTGAAAGAACATACATTTAACTAATCCACTTTACTCTTTTACCATATCTTTGTACTTAACTTTGTTAAGTGCTTGAGGTGTGTCAACACTTCAAAACCTGTGATCATCTTACTCAATGATGGCATAGTCTGACAGCTTTTTTTTAATTGTTTAAAAATTTAAAAAATTTTTTATTTTGTTTTATTTTTTTTAGAGAGAGAGTGTGAGGGGGAGGGGAGGGAGGAGCAGAGGGAGAGGAAGAGAGAGAATCTTAAGCAGGCTCCATGCTAAGCGTGGAGCCAGGGTGGGGGGCTCAGTTTCACAACCCTGAGATCATGACCTGAGCCCAAATCAAGAGTCAGTCGCTTAACCGACTGAGCCACTAGGCGCCCCCAGAGATTTTCTTAATACAATTAATTCCATCAATTCTGAGATAAAATATACTTTGCAAAAGCTACTAATAGTGCACAGAGTGTTACAAAACAGAAGCCAGGATCACTGTTGCAAATTCTCTAACACACCTGTACTAAGCCAACTTATCATGGTGTACACCATCATAGGATCCCACAGGGCATGCACCTCAAAGAAGCTGACCACATTTTAGCTGAATGAGCAAGTGAATGAATCTCATAAGTTTGGACTAAGGAAGCAGGGTCATATATTAAAAGTCCATGTTAGAGAAGAATACACATACATATAGTTACTATTCTAAGAACATACTAAAGTCAAATATTATATCTTGATAAAAGATTTTAGAGAAATTCCTTTAATAATAGCCAATTATCTGAATATATTTTGACCAATTATCTGAATATAAATAATTTTTAAATAAATATTTTAAAATAAATAATATTTTTAAATATTCAAGTGTGTTTAAAATATTTATGTATATTAACTTATAGTAGTAAGTTTCACCTACAAAGAAATATTTTATTAAATCAAGAGGAGTGCCTACCTATTCCTGACTTTCAATGTTTTCTAGTATGAGGGACAGCACCCAGTTGCCAACACCAGAAACCTGCCTTGAACTCTATTTTGGATTCTCCCTTTCTCCTAGCCTCATCTACCTGATTACCAAAGTGCATTTTGTCTATTACCTAAATTTTCTCTTGTCTGCCTGAGAAATTCCCACTTTCTCTCACACCTGAGCCACACCTGACTCTGCCAAGCTGACTTAGAACTTCCTAACAACTCATATATACTTCAATCAAATTTCTAGTATAGTATATTCTTATATTTTCATGATTTGAACCTATCCTCCCTTAAGAATGGGGTGGATTAGGTAGGGGCGCCTGGGTGGCTCAGTCAGTTAAGGGTTCTGGGATCAAGCCCTGAGTCAGGA